CCAATGGTAGGTGTGTGTTTATTTAAGAAATTGCCAAATTGTTTTCCAAAGTAGTTGTACCATTTTACACTCCCACTAGCAGGGTCTAAGAGTTCCTGTTGCTGACCTCCCTTCCTGAGACCACTGGTTTGCAATCAGGCAGAGATGGGTTCAGATCTCCTGACTCCTTCCCTCACCAGCTCTGTGACTTTGGACCAGGTGCTGAAAACTTCTGGAAGCCTCCGTCTACTCGTCTGTTGCTGGGCATTCTGGACCCTTTGGTCTGAAACTCCTGTTGTGGTTTCCCCTCCCTGACTGTGAACTTCTTCAGGACAGGAGCTTCTGTCCACCTTACACAAACTCCCTGATGGTGACAATGGCCACTCTGAACTAAGTGTTGACTCAGTTCCTGCACGTATTGCCACCCTGCGAGATTGGTTTTGCCCTTACCCCAAATCCTTGGGGCCAGAGCTGAAAGAACTCAGGCTTTCTCCTTGATTTTATAAAAGTAACACGTTTGTTACTATTGTTGTTGATGGTGGCGTTATTGATATCATTCTTACTGAGTCTTATGTCACACTCCATTGGGGTCTGGGACAATTTCCCATAACCAAACGCATCAATATTTCTGCAGTGAAACAAAGAATGTTCACACTCTAAATAAGGACTGTTAAGCGCCTCAAGTCAGTTCCAGTCAGTATTGCACCAGATGGGTTTGCCACAAACTTACAGAAAGGGCCTTTGGTTTTCAGAGCTTTGAGGATTTAGAATTGTAGATAAGGGATGGAGTCCCTGAGTGGTGCAAATGGTTAACATGTCTGGCTGAAAGATGGGGGGCAGGGGTGTTGAATCCAACTATAGGTGCCTCAGAAGAAAGGCCTGGTGATCTACTTCCAAAAAATCAGCCATTGAAAACCCTGTGGTTCTACCCTGATAACATGGGGTCGCCATGAGTGGAAATCAACTCTACAGCAGTTTCTCCCCCTCCCCCCACACGGAACTCTGAGCAAAACCTTAAAAGCAGAGGATTCATTTGGGAACTGACCTCAGCCCTCTGCACACACCTGCAGTTCTCCTGGAAGAGTGATTTCTAAAGTGCAGGTCCTGTCCCCTGGGGTAGGGGTGGCCTGACATGGCTTTTTAGGTCAACTACAAGATTCAATAAAACTAGGTAACACAAGGAGCCCTGGTGGTATAATGGTTAAGCCCTTGGCTGCTAACTGAAAGGTCAGCAGTTCGAACCCACTGGTCACTCTGTGGGAGAAAGATGTGGCAGTCTGCTCCCATAAAAATTACAGCCTTGGAAAACCTATGGGGCTGCCCTACTCTGTCCTGTGAGGTCGCTATGAGTCAGGATTGACTCGACGGCAAGCAGTTAAACGGGCTAGGTCACACAAAATCAAGCTCTCCCTTTGCAGTCCCTCTGATCCCTTTGCAGGAAGTCCCCAGGTGGTGCTTGCATGCCTTTAACACCTCTTCAACACTTTCTAATCTCCGTCTTTAACTTTGACAGGTTTCTACCCAGAACTTTTTCTCTTTTTGGTTTTGTGCATTTATTTTATAGCACTCTTCTGTATATGACACGTCATACTGGTTTTTTTGTATATGATAATGGCATCAACTTTCCTTTGTAAAGAAATTGATTTAATAAACTGAAGGGGGGAAAATAAACTAGTCAATTAAAACCCAGGTGGTTCAGGGATATGACGAATATTTTAATGGTGGGCCAAGCGCTGCAGAGGTCTGTAGACTGCTTACATCCAGAATCATTATGGTTTTCCTCTCCTAGAAGTTAGCTGGTAATATGGATACAGCTTCTCACTACCCAAGCGCACGCCTCCCGGAGTCAAATGCTGCTGGCCCTCCAGGAAGTTGGGGGGCTTCCCTACCAACTGGTTCAACATAGTCAGCCAGGACAGGGATGTCCTGGTTTCCGTGGGCTCAGACAGGTCCTGTGGACTCAAGGCTGGGGTTAGTGAACGGGGAAATCACCATTCCCCAAAGGTCGGTGACACCCTGCCACCCAAATATTGTTCTTAAAGTGAAGAACGTGCATCCCGACCATGCCTTGCTGTAGGGTGGCTCATCTTTCTGAAGCATCAGATTTTTTTACAAAGGCAACTTAATTCCATTTAAAACATCATTTTTAGATTAAAGCAAGTAGATGAGTAGAATGCAACATTCATACACAGTTTTAACCGAAAAGGCAAAGCTGAAATTCTACCCCCAGATCCTCTACTTAACTTTAGGGATATGTTTGTTGGTGGACAAATGGCGACTTTGTGCTATAGCTCTGTTCTGTTTTAGGGCCAGGCTGGGATGCTCTCAAAGTTAGGTGAGATAAAGTATAGAAAGTACTTGGCATGTTAAAAAAAAAAAAACCTAGCCATGGAGTCGATTCCGACTCATAGCACCCCACAGGACAGAGTAGAACTGCCCTATAAGGTTTCCAAGGAGCACCTGGTGGATTCAAACTGCCAACATGTTAGTTAGCAGCTGTAGCTTTTAACCACTACGCCACCAGGGTTTCCACTTGGCACAGAGACCCCTAAACATACTTTTACTGTTATTCCCCACCCCCTCCATGACCTTGCGAATATGCCAACTCAGAGGACATCCCCCAGGGCCAAAGGTCTGTCTCTGTAAGGCGCTCTCAAGGTTCATTTAGATTCCAGCTATAGCTCTAGAGACCCCTCTGCTTACATCCACAGCCAAACAATCGGCAGGAAAAGGTATTCTGAACTTTGGAGGGACAACCAGTAAAATCTCAGTGCTGAATACTATGTTCTCTGTGTGACCTCGATTTGTCATCCCTCAAACTCACTCAATCTCCCTTCATCTCAACCCGTCTTCACACTATTCAACCTCAATTTGACTCTGTCAAGAACCTCACCTCAATCTTAGCGTCACTCCCTGGTTCATCCACCCTCACAATTTAACAATATGGCCTGACCACCGTCTTTCGTCCTCAGATCTCAACAGGGAACAGCTATATTCCTTCCGAATACTTATGCGGCAACTACCACGTGTCTGCTAACGTGGATTACAAAGACGAGCAAGAGCTTGCCATCTGGTGGCCTAGCACAGTCCCAGGAGATCCAGAGACGGGATCACGTTATTGCAGCGAGCAGCAATAGGAGGGGGTGTCCACTCTGGACGGGGAGAAGAGGGCACAGGCACAGGGGACTTGTCCCCAGTGATGCCATCTCTCGTCTCTGAGACTGAGGGAGTGCCGGGCAGGCCCACGGCAGAGGAGAGCAGAGCCTGGAGCACAGATAGCTCAGGATGTCCAGAGCCTAGAGTATGTCCAAGGCAGCAGGAGCTGTGATGCCTCTGGGAAGCATATCTGGAAATGCAGAACTGGCCATGTTAAAAAGTTGGGGCCAAATCCCGGAGGTGGTGCGTCTTGAGGGTATTAAGCCAGGGGAATGGCATGGTCAGATGAAGGTCTGTGGGAGATGACAGCCTAGACCAAGTCACTGGCAGCTGGGACAGATGAAGAAACACAAGTCACACAGTGGCTTAGGGCATAGAGCAGTTTTACTTAAGGACTAGACAAAAACCAAAATCACTTTTTTTTTTTTTAAATCAAACACTTTATTTCCACATAACAAGCGCAAAAAACTCCCAAACACTTTAACAATACAATTAACGCAGTTATGAAGTCAATTATATGCTACTCAAAGCCCCAAAAGGTCAATCAGCTTAACGTTCCAAACAACTCCAGACGTGGTTTTTCAAAGCTACCTTTGGTTTTTGGAAAAACCAGTATGGAAGTCAATATACACTGAATGCATTGAACAACGTTTGCTTCTATTAAGGTGTCCGACAATAGTAGCTTAAACACCTGGCAAGGTGGAACATGATTTGAAGTCATACACTGAAATACATACACAGGTTTTGCCCCAGAGCTCCTGCGGTGAGAAGTGAGGGCCGTGAAGGGGAAGAAAAGGCCAGTCCAGGTTGTGGCGTTTCTTGTATTGTAACAGAGGTATGAGAGGTTAACACTAGTACACTGTCAAGTCATTAAGCTTCATGTTCCGAACGATCTCTTGCTGAGGCTTGAGATGGGCACAAATGGTGGGGAAGATGAAGTCACACAAGTGTTTTGAGCAACAAGATCCCAAAGATGCTCAAAGAGGGTAGGAAGGAGCAAGCTACAGTTTCCCATTGTTCTCACATTATTTCAGGGTGAAGTTGTGGATAAGTTCGGATAAAATGTTCAAATATTTGCTTAGATTTTGAATCGGTTGCTTTATGAGAACCCTCATACATGGCAACTTTGAAACTGTCATTATAAAAAAGAGCCTACAAATAAATTCACAAAAAAGAGACAATTAATGTTGAGCAGCCAAAAAGTCATGGTTTATTATATCTGAAGAAATTTCATAATTCAAACACAACCAAACTGTACATTTTACAATCACATTCTATTTGTAAACAGTTAAAAGCCACTGACTTCTTTTGCATCTTAGGACACAAACAGTTAGAATCAAGGCAATGAAATGATGGCAAATCTGCGCTGTTAAAATTTTTACCCTTGTTTAGTCTCTCTTCTTTGACTAAGCAAGCATTATAATACCATTTGTGGGCAAAGAAAACAAAGGGGGGAGGGGAGAAAGAAATTTTAAAAATGGTGTAACTCGTTAAGTTTTGCAACAACATTTAAAATTTTTTCTTTATACAACAAACAACTCTGTAAGCCCAATACCTTGGTTACAGTATGCATAGTTACTGATTTCGGCTTTAAGGTACAACAGTTAAACATTAACACAGTCACAAGAGAGCAGAAACATATATAGCCACTTGATGGGATTACAAAAAAAAAATCATTACCTATTGATTATTAGCAAACCATCATCACTCACTAATAAAAAGACAGCATCTGAAAGCAGAATGTCAAACTCCAGCTTTAAGCGTTTTTCTTTTTTTGGCAGAGAAAATTCTTTAACAGAGCAATACGTAGTATCAGTGCTAAAAGTTGGGGTTTTTCTTTTTTTCCTATAAGAAACTACAAGGAGTTTTTTTTTTTTTTTTTTTGTTTTGTTTTTATTAACTGGGGAACTGGTTTTCCTGAGAACCATGCTCTTTGATTTAGGACAGGAATAGAAAAAACAAAAGAACATGGCCAAATGCTGCGCCTTTTTCCCAGAGATAGAAAGCATCTTTTAAATCATCCTCCATTTTTTTTTGTCTTTTAATTTTTTTTTAAATGATGAAAGAGTAAACATTTTTTTTCTCAAAAAACAAACAAAAAAATCTGTAAACAAGAAGGTTCAACATGGGAACCTTCAAAACAAAATGGTAAGCCTATTCAAAGTGCAGGGCCCGTCCTGGGTGGCAGGTGGGCTGCAAGTCACAGCTGTGGCCACAGTTTTTCAAACTGCAGAGCGAAATTCTTTAGTTTTACATCATGAAAGAACTGGTGCAATACTTTCATTAATAATCCTAAGTCAGTATCATAACTTGATCTTTTAAACTCCACAATACCACAATAAGGTAGGCAAACATCAAGGCATAGTAGAGAGCGCACACCTTTTAAGAACGTCCTTGAGTAAACATTTACACTGGAACAGCTGCCCCCCCCATACTGCCGATTAGCCGGAGAGAACATCATTCAGTGCAAAGTTAAAAGCTCATACATTATCAGCCCAAAAAATGGTTTTGCAAAACAAAACAAAAAAAAGTGGGGGAGGGGGAGGGGGAGGGGGAGATAGAGAAGAGGGGAAAAGAACAAAAAGATTCCAAAGGCTAAACATGATGTATACACACAAGTGAGCTCATTCTATATGGTTTAGCATGTATGGCGCTGTTTGGGAGTGTAAATAGATAGATACCTTTTCACATTATAATATTGGCCTGCATGATTCAAGTATTCAAACTGATATGTTTTGGGGAAAACAAAGTGGAAAATGTGCAGAGAATAGCGGTTCCCACAGGTGGCCCCTGGCTGCAGGCTGCAAGCCCAACTTAGTGCTCCTTTCTTTCGTGTCTTGAGGTCACAGTTTGTGAGTCGACATCTACACTGTTACATGGACTCTCCACCCCCACCCAGGTGGTCAACAGAAAGAAAAGCATTAATGGGGGATGGGCTGCTAATTCCCCGGGGGTCACTGCTGCTTGGAGGACCCCACAGGCTTGTGGAATAATGTGGGGTCCCCCAGAGTGAAGTGCCATGAAGGTCTCCACAGTTAGTTCCCGACAGCCCAGCACCATTCCACTGATTGAGATCGGTCCGGCTGGAGAACGAGTGGGAACAGTCGAGGGAGCCCAGCCGGCTCTGGCTGGACCCAAGAGACTGCCAGCCGGGAGAAGGGGTCAGAGACTGACTTTGTGCAAAGAAACGACTGATCTCCTCTTCACTGGCAAACTCAGCAAGAATAGTAGTGTTCCCCAATACACACCTGGAGGGGAAAGAGACAGACAAGCATGGTGAAGACTCGGCAGACTGCAAGGGTTGGCTTAACTCAAAAGCAGTGGGGGGTGGTGGGAAGGGAGGAATGGGGAGAAGAGAGAGAGAAGGCACCATTTAGCCAGCGTGCCCTCCCTTCAGAGAGCACGCCCTGGAGGCAGCCTGAGGTGGGCATATCCACCTGGAGCTCTCATGGGCCCTGCCTGCCATACCCAGAAGGAACTGCCTCCATGCATGCAGTTGTGGGCTCTCAAGATGCTGTTTCTCATCTTCCCTGGGCAATCTAAGGGATCTTCTAGGGCCATCTTGAGCAAGTGTGATGCTTCCCCTTATAAGTACTGACCTTGCAACCCCAAATGCAGTAGGGCTATAGCTGCTGGCAATGTGCTTTCATGGCGGGGCCCCCGTGTATGGGCACACAGCCAGGCACAGTGTCACCAGCTATGCGCTCATATATGCGCTTTCCACAACTGAGGGAGCTCCAAACTAAAAATCACAGGGGCGTTTTCCAGGTGTCACGAGCAGAATGGCCAACTTACATGTGCAGAGACTTTTGTGCCTTCACTACCTCTTCTTTTGAACTGTAACGGACCAAAGCATTTCCATGTGGGAGGTTCAGGTGGAATGTTATCAGTGGGCCATGCTGCATGCACAGAGTACGCAGAGTTGAGCCATCAATCTAGGAAATGGAGGGAAGGGAACAGTCAATCAGATGACCATCCAGGGAGGTTGTCCTGGGCTGGGATGCTGCTTCCATCTTCCATCCCCAAGGTCCTTCTGACACCACTCTTCACTGGTTCTTGCTGCAAGGATGGGCTGTGGTGCCCCCTTCCCCACCTCTCCTGGTCCCAGAGCCAAGCCTTCGAAGCCTCTAGACTCCTGGACAGTCCCCAGGTCCCCAGTTCCTTAGTTAGCATTGTCCCTGCTGTGGCTTCACATCTTCCCTCTTCTCTGCCCTGAGGACAGGATTCAGCAAGGCACTGCTCCCTGGGGGGAAAGGGGATGGCCTCCAGATGTGGGGTGGTCCAGGGCTAAGAAAAAGTTCAAATCTAAAAAAGCAGACCAGAGGTTCACAATGTGGTCCAAAGACCATACCCGTGCCTTCATAAAAATGCAGATTCCCAGATTCTAGCCCAGACCTAGTAAATCAGTCTCTTGGGTGAGGTCTAGGGACCTGTATTTCTGGCCAGCTTCCCAGGTTACCCTTATGCACATTACAGTGGGTAACAGGTAACCACTGGGTCAGACCCCAGCCCGCCTGAGGCATCTAAAGACCAGTCCTCAGCTCTTTCCTCTGCGTGGCTCTGCCTTGACCTCCACTCAGAACCACCTCAGAGGAGCTGATGCCCTGGCAGTCCTCATCTCCAACTCACACAAGACTGAAGACGTTTGGTCCCATTGCCCTGGTGTATCCATACATAACCAGGGTGCCTGGTATTCTTACCTGAGGTGTGAGGTTTTTTAGAACAAGCCAATTAGTTATTCTCCCTGAGCTGCTCTCACCCCAGCTGGAACCTGTGAAACAAGCACAGAAAAGGATGAGTCAGGTTTCCAAGCTTGTGGACAGACACACTCCAGTCAAATTACAGTTACTCAGCAGGATCACCTGACACCTGGCTTCCTTCGCTTCCTTGACTACTTACCTGCACTTCTACATGGGATACCTTCTCCCTAGACCCAGAATGGGCTCATCCCACCTTGATCCAGGCACTAACTCCTGTGACAGGTGGCTCTGCCTTTGGGGAGAGCAGGCTCCGTGAGGCTCCCCAGCTAATCACACAGCAGGGTGGGGTAGTGAGCCACTAAAGGCCATATCCCTTCTGGGATCTTTTCATTTATAAGCTAAAACTATCTCTAAATGGCATCACCTGGGAAAGATCTCCGTTTCTGATTATCTGAGGTACCTAACACAACACACTATTTTACTACTTTGTGCATATGTTCCACAAGGCGTTAAGTTTTAAGGGGTTTGTTTTAAAAACTTGAAACTGCCCACTCATTTTTTTTCTTTTTTGATTGTGCTTTAGGTGAAAAGTTTACAGCTCAAGCAAATTTCTCATACAAAAATTTATACACATATTGTTTTGTGACGTTAGCTACAATCCTCACAATGTGACAGCACACTTCCCCTTTCCAGATTAGTCCTGTCTAATCTGTGTCTGAAGAGTGGGCTTTGGGAATGGTTTCAGTTCTGGGTTAACAGAGCATCCAGTGACTGCTCATTTTTTTGTCTGGGTTACTGCAAGAATTTCTCACATGGCCTCCTGCTCAGCCTCCCACCCCATCCACTTTCCTTCCAGCAGCTGGAGCTTTGACACATGATTAAGTCACTCCCCTTTCTGCAACTATTTTAAAGGTAACTCAGTCATAAGGACAGCAGCTAAACCAGGGCTTTGAACTGGTTCAGTCCAGTTTGAACCTTGCTTTCCATCCCAAATATACTGAATCAGAATCTCTACTTTTTACAAGATCACTAAGTGACTCTTTGTATAACTTTCTGGGAACTTGTTAGAAATGCAAATTCTCAGCATGGGTTCCAACCTGAATGAACCAGTTCAAAGTCCTGATCCAGATACTTTCCTGTGGTTTAGGGAGATTTTCCCATAATACAGGGCATGCCTACCTCTTTCTCACTGAACCTTGGCCTCCCCCCACCTCTCCATGCTCTAATTCCAACAGGGAACACTTAAGCCTTCTCAGTTTTGTGAGCCTTGGCACATGCTGTCCCCTCTGCTTTGCTTACTCTGACAGGTTTGCAGATCCCACTCAACTCCCCCAGCCCTCCTTGCCGACCTAGCGTGTGGGCTCCTAAGCTCTCTCATCTCCCCTAGCTGGAGAAGTCTCTGACCAGGAAGAACCACTTATACATGACACCAATGACACACATTGGCATTTAATAGCCTGAAAAGGACTCAAGTATTCTTTTCACTTAATTAAAACTTTCAACTCAAGAAATCTCAGTAAATTTTTATTGTGGCCTGTCTGAAGATCAGAAATTACAAATTAGATCACAAAATGTTAGTGGGGTTTTCTTACTCATTTTCAGCTTGGAGACGAACATTTGGTAGGTTTTGGGCAGGGCAGAAAGGAGGAATAAGACCATATTTTCTGGTAGAACTGGCAGACAGCGTTGAGTTAAATTTGTGGAGGGGTGTGGGGTAGGGAGGGGGGTAGAACATGATGCCAGTACAAATCCGACACTAGGCATTTACAGACTGAGTACAGGCAGGGGAACTATTTGCGCTGTTTTCCTGAACAGTCTGGCTTATGTCTGTTGGCCCTGTATGATCACTAGCACCCACTTTCACTCTCAATTGTTTCTGTGTAAATAAAAACTATATGGTCATCCCAAGCATAGGTGAAGTTACCACCCAAACAGGCCCCACTCTTCAAGGCCCAGATGGGCTGCTCCTACCTTCTCCAGCTTTGACAAGTAACAGCTTCTGCTGGGCAGCACAAATGGTTTGCACTTGACCACTAACCTAAAGGTTGGCAGTTCAAACCCACCCAGCGGTGCTGCAGAAAAAGGCCTGATCTGCCTCCATAAAGATTACAACCAAGAAAACCCTATGGAGCTCAGCTCTACTCTGTAACAAACAGGGTCACCGTAGGTCAGAATCGACTTGATGGCAACAGGTTTTTTCTTTTTTGCTCTGTGTAACGTGGTGTTATTCTGCAAGCCTGCTATGAGCAGGAAGTTACTAAAGATTTTAGGAACTTCTGAGAGAAAGGGGAAGAAAAAGGAGAGCCCCATTCCATTAACTTTATCAATGAATGTTGTAATCTTTGGGTAAATGTGCTTAAGTAAACCAGGTAAAGACTCAAACACACAAACTGCAAAAGATAACAATGCATAAGAAATCATATGTTCACTTAAGTTCTCACTCCACTTTACAGAGGATAATGTAATAACCTTACAGTTCAGGTCTTAGTTAAACTAGACTGTTGGCACTGATTAGTTCAGCAAATAATCCATACGCAATCATCTTATGTATTTCATCTTACCTGGGGTATATCTGGCATCAGAATTTCCCCATCCTCCACCTACACGAATGGGAGAATTATCCCATGTAGACAAGGGTGGCTTCTGACCAGTCAGTCCCGGAGGTGGGCGGGACGGAGCAGTGATGTTTTTAGGTGGCAGAGGGACCTTCCACAGTTCATGAGCCAGAGAGGTGTTTGTAACTGAACCAGGAGACCATGTCAATTTGGAATCACTATTTCTGGCTACTTAAAGGAAAAAAGAGGGGCGGGGGGTGGGGGTGGGGGAAGGGAAGAATATTTTCAGAAAGGAGAAAACTTAAATAATGATAACATCTATCCTCCCAAAAAACAAAAAGAAACTTAATTAACACTGCCCAAAATCAAACTAAACTGCAAAGAAAAATAGGAAATCAAAAGGAAACATCCTCCCCCCTCAAAACACTCAGACCACTTATCTGCTATTTACAGTTTTAAGACCTGCGATTCTTAGTCCAGTGCACAAAATTCTAACTGAAATCACAACAAAATCCATTGCTCTGAACTGCTCTAAAACAGCAGTTGTTAACTCCTTACCTTAATAACCATACTTGAGTCACTTAAGTCACTAAATAGATTTTAGAACTTTGTTGTTTAATCATGGAAGGAAAAGAAAAAAAAAAGACAAAAGGACTACAAAAGTAGACCCAACTCCAGGTGTAACCCCAGCAGATATTGCCCAGGTGCCTCCTCGCCGCCGACTACTGGGCTGCTAGATTCTGCCAGCATCAGCTCTAATCCACCCGTTTCACTGAGGAGCAGAGAGGTTAACTTGCCTATGGGTCCTACTAAACGGAGAGCCAAGACTAAAACCTAGGACTATCTCGCTAAAAAACTTTTTTTTTTACCCGATATGGGCTGCCTCATAAATAATGGCGGAGAGCTAGTGGGTGTGCAGGAATCAGGAACACAGTAAACTAAGTCAAAAATGATAAAAAATATGAGGGGAAGAGAAAGGCATGGGAGACTGTATAACTTCCATCATCGTCCACTATTTTTTCACTGGTCTCACAAAGTGCACGTCCTTTAAGTCAGTGCCACTCAAAGTGTGGTCATGGACTGGCCACAACACCCTGTCCACTTCTGCTCTGTGACAAAATGAGTGTAAAAATTCAGAGCAAGCATTTGTAAACTTTGATAGCAATCTGACATTGTCATAACTCTCAAGGGTGTACTGTATTTTTACACAAATAATGCGTGCCTTCTACGCTTGTCTGCCAACTGTTACCTCCACCCTTGAGGTTATTTTCATAAGTGCTGCTATATCAAATTTTTTTTTACATGTTGCTGTAAAAAAATTAGCATAGTGTGCTTACAAAAATACCGTGTGGGGGGAGGGGACAGTTGGCAAACAAACAGAGGGCGCACGTTATTTGTGTAAAATATGGTAATTATTGTTCTAGCCATTCAAAATTCATGTTTGCTTTATTTTACATAAGTGTTAGTCTGTGAGGTTTGAAATTCTTTTTAACAGAAAGGCCCTTCATCACAGATAGTATGAGAACTGCTTTAGTGATAAGATTTAATTACAGACCTGAGATGGCTCTCAGATCAGAGAAAGTGCTTCAGCGAAAAACTGATCATTTTAGTAGATGACTGCTAAGTGAAAAAAGGGACAAACAGTGTTAAAAGCCTCACCAATATATTCTCTTGATTTTCCTAAAAAGAGGGAATAAAAAAATACCCACAGCCACAGGTTTCTGACTAAACCCCTTCCTTTTTCTGAGATGGACCTTGGCAAGGTCAGGGTGTGGCCTACCTGAAGTGCTTTGTGCTGTACTGCTGAGGGGAACGTTGTAGTTGGAGGCACGAATGGATGACCAGGCACTAGTTGAAGGCAGCGTGGTGTTCAAGGATGAGGATGACCCTACATGGGGGAAGACTGCAATTAGTCATGCACCAGAACCAAGGACATGGTATTTAAAAATAAGCAAAACCATCGAGTGAAAGTGAAACTTAACAGTACGCCACAAGAAAAAGGAAAGAGGTACACTGAGGGAAACGGACTGTACACCCAAAACTGCATCTTCCTTCTGCCTTCAAAAGCATGCTCAGAGATAGCTTGCTAACTGTTTTTACCTTGGCTCCCTGTTTTCCCAAACCGTCCATGAGAATACACTCTAACAACTAGACACAACCCTTGGCTCTACCTGGCAGTACCGGGCGCTAACAGGAGGGCAAATTCTTGCTCTCCAAACTCCTCTCTTAGCTCCACTGACTTACTATTGCGTAATTTGTTTAACAAGAAACTGTGTCAATGGCACTACCAGTTGGCCAGGTCTTCACCCTTCTCCATCAAGACCCATATTCAGTCTCCAAGACCTGCTATTTCTTCCCATTTCTTTCTTACATTTTTTTTTTTAATCAACCTCCAACCATAAAACAATGTAATTTTCAAGCACGGGCCAAACTTCGTCACTTTTGTGTTGACTGCTATACTTAGCATGATATCTAGTATCTTGAACACTACTCTAGTTTAGCTCCAGACTTGACCCTTACCTGGATCACTACAACTGTTCCCTAACTGGTTTCCCACTCAAATCCATTCTGCCCACCACGGTCAGATTACTCACTTTAAATGTTGATTCTTCCACTCAAAACCTTCAATGGTTTCTTATTTCCTTTAATATTAAATCTAAACTCCTCTCTTGACTTCTAGAACCTTCTATAATTTGCCTATTTTCCCAGGCTGCCCTGCAGTCTAGGTTTTTCACTGTTTCACAAACATGTAATAGCTACTCATAATTCTGTTTGGTTCCTTTAACCTGAATTATTCTTTCCCAGATGGTCCCTAACTCTTATTCATTCAATGAAGCAGAAAGAACGTGTTTATAAGACACTAGGTATCATGCTAAGTATAGCAGTCAACACGAACGTGACCAAGTTTGGCCCTTGCTTGAAAATTACAGTGTTTTAGAGAAACAGCTAGGTATGGCTGGAGCGTCCGATACAAGAAAGAGTAGTAGGAGGTAGAGAAGAAAAACTGGGGCAGAAAGAGACTAGAAGATGGAATGGAGTCAAGACTTTACGGTTGGTCTAAGTTACTTTAACTTTGAATTTCATCCTGGAGCCAAAATGAAGCTGTCTGAGGTTTTTGAGGAGGGAAATGTCATAATCACATCTGTGTGTAGGAAAAAATCATTGGGGCAACAGTGAGGAGACTCTACATGAGAAATGGCAGGGCCTGACCTAAGACAATGATACGAAACAGCACTCCCCACCCCCCAACACACACACCAGCCTGCAGTGATCAAATTTGCCTCTGAAATAGTACTCAATGTCTTGGCTATTCAGGAAAGCACTTCAGAGATCAAATCATCTGCCATAATACTAATCAACACATTCTCACTGCTTGAGGGCTGCCTCAGACCTCCTTCCCTGAAGCTCCTTCTGATAAAGCTGCACTTCCCTCTAGGCTGCGTGCCACTCCAGACAGGCAGCCAACAAAATACTCTCATGGGTAGCTTTGCTCACTGTTCTTCACAGACCCCACGTCAGCCCAGAGAAGTTTCTTCCAGGCAACTTCCTCTGACAAGAGTTAACTGTCACACGTGAGGGTTAGAAAGAGAATGAATGCTCGTAAGGCAGCAAGCCTAGAATGTGGGGCTCAGAGATTCACAGCATCAGAAAAGCCTGCCAGGCACACCCCTGGACACACACACCAGGCAGCTCACACTGTGACCCCCTAATCCAGAAAGAGGTGGAAGGAGATACAACCAAGAGCATGTGTGTAGACATGAAATGGTGGGAAAGGACTCTACCAATCTGGGCTGGCAGAAGAGAATGAGGGCAACACTTCAGAAGAGGTGAATTTCCTTTGCCTTTTCCTTTTAAGCATTTCTCTTTTACCTCATGGAATTACAACATGTTAGAGCCAAAAGGGATCTTCAAGATCTTACTCAACTCCTTCATTTTCCAGATCAGGAAGCAAAGGCCCCAAATGGCCCAGGGTCACAGTTGGTGGAAGAACCTGGACTAGAATTCCAGACATCGGATTCCCAAGCCATACAGTTACCACTCTATAACTGTCCCTTCTACTGACCCCTGTTCCCCATCTGCCCCTTGCTGCCCAAAGCCCTTCTCGGATGGACTTCACCAGACTCTCAGCCCCCACGTACCTCATTTCAAGGAGGTATAATCTAAAGGCAGAATAACAGCATCTCTTTTATCTCTCACCACATTAGACGCTCTCTATACAGAAAATCACTCAATACTCAAGTAAAAGGAGTTGCATACATGGAAACTAAGCTGAAGACTACAGAAAGATTTTATTGAAAAAGCTGACATCAATTAGGCACAGACTAGATAGTTATAACAAATATGAAGGAGAAATCATAAAGATCTAGAAGGATTTTACCCTTAGACTATTAAACAAATATGCCTTTAAGGTCTTCTTTCCTTTAAAGAGATTTAAACTGATAGGAACCTTGTATTACAGTTTTACTTTATGCAAGGAAGACACTAGGCAACACCAATCACCTGATTAATACTCAAAGAAAAGGCCCTGAGCTACATCAAAATACTGGCAAATTAATGTACATTTAAGTTAAAATAAAATGCTCAGGACATGACGTATAATTTATTATGATTCCTTCCTACAACTGACCTCTTCTATTAACCAACTACCAGTTCTAATCCCATCAGATGAGATGGCATCTACTGGTTTACACTTCCGGTCAGAAACACCTCCCAACCTGTAGCTTTTCCCTCCCAGTGGGGCACAATCACATGCCACAATCAAGTTAAATATGAAATCAACTGGTGCTACCTTGAGGCAGGAAATGAACAGTCTGGCCCACATTAAGCCTGTAGATATAGAATCAAAGATTTTAAGAACAAATCCTATTCACTATCTTTAAATTAGCTAAAAACTGGAGGTCTTCAAATAAAAAGCCCTATAGAGAAAAGAAAGTAACGATTTGGTGAGGTGAATAACTTGCTATCGTGTCAAATAAAGTGCCTGTTTCTCTGGTCTGAAATGGAGCTCTAGTGGCAGGCATCCCCAGCCAGTGTGGCATCTTGCCTTTCTTCCCCAGTTCACCCTGAGTCAAGGAAAAGAAGAGGCAGCAGGGTCCCATTTTCTTCCTTTCTCTCAGACAGGTCTACCATTACCTCCCTGAGGCACTGTGGCGCCTTTAAAACAAACAAGATAAAACCCTTGGGTCTGTAAGCCATCAGGTTCTTCCATTATCAATTGGCCCTTACTCCCTTTTCTTCTGGGAAATTAGTAGCTCTAGACTTCCATATAGTTGTCTGTTAAATCTGGCCATTTGAGAATGATGAGGATTTTCTTACCACCGTGATACGGCAAACACTTGTTAGTAAATAATATATATTTTAT